TCTTATCCCTTGTTCTAAAAACCGTGTTTTCCTTTCAAACTTTCACATTCGTTGAAGTGTTCGGGTTTGAGAATTTACGTGACCGATAGTTTATGGATTAGGTTATGTTTTAGTATTAGATTAGAGACATTACACATTCGTCATTATTCGAGGCCTTATCACCGGATATGACTCGCCAATGCATGCATCCAAAAGCAAGAAGGAAGATGTCCTTGCTTTAACAAGAACTGCTGACCCCTCAGGAACACCTGAATTAAACCTAGATTTTGCTTAAATCATGCTGCTCAATTTTTTAAATGATTGGTGAACTGTTTATTGGTTGTCTTTTGTCGTCACTTTTTTGTACGTTTTTCTCCCAACTTATGTTTTTTTATTATCCCCTTAGAGCTAATCTTTTGTTTCAATTTAGTTAGTTTTATTTTTATTTTACTTCACACAACGAAAGGTCATATTGTAAGTTTTCTGTTAATATTAACATATGTTTCACAAAAATTAAGGAGATGTGGTATCATTGCCAATGAGACAACTATCCATCAGAGATTAAATATATGTAAACTAAACTACTAAAAAATAATACCAAAGCTTACCACAATATTATGCTCAGTAATGATATTTCTTAACGACGTTTCGTCCATTTTTCCAAAAAGACGACTAAATTTCCGTTTAACTTTGTAAAATTTCCTTGTTCCTAAATAATAGTATCGACATATTTGTCTATCCAAGTTAACAATTCAAACTTTAATCTTTACGTGCTTTTCGCTTCCTTGTATAAGTAATAAATTATTATACAACATCACGCCGATATTTCCTGTTTCGCCGTTGAGCAACATTCAATATGTTTATTTTATATTAGAATCACTAAAATAAACTACTTGTGTGTATTGTCACATTTAATTTAAAGTCATTTGTTTGTAAAGTTTCCCTTTGTACATTACTTGTAACACTTAAAAAATTCAAAATATAGTGTATTTGTATACAAACTTTCACTTTAACAACTCTATCGATGATCGTGTATAATTCTATTTTTGTAGATAAAAACGTCTTTAAAAATTATGTGTAACGCTTTTTGTTGGATGTCCGTTTCTTTTTCGTTTGTTGCACGCATTGAAATTGTAATACATCACTGCTGGGGAAGTATAACACAAAAAAAGGGTACGGCATTTTAATTCGGTGGGCGCGTTTACCGAAGTATAAAATGAATAATGCTGTATCACTATTAGACTGTCACGTTTTTATTATTGTTTTTAACAGGAGACTTATTCAGAAATTCACCAAATAAACTGTATGCATCAAAAATTATTTAATGTAAATGAATATATTTCAAAAAGTCCGTTTAAAATATGTTTAGGAGTGGAAAATACCATCTTTATCATATCTTACGACAATGAATTAAAGTTTGAAATTGTTAAACTATCAATTAATTTTTTTATAAATGCAGTGTAATTTACTGAATTAATCTATAAAACTACTAATAGTATTACAAAGTATTGTTACTTATACATATAATTAATACTAAAAACCATTATCCCTTTATGGTGTATACTAAGAAATCCTATCAAGTCGAAGGAGTATAAATACATTGTATTGGTTTTGTTACCGATTTCGGAAAGGGAAATTCATAAGTCAAATCAGCAGAAGAGTTTAAAAATTTACCAACCACATGTAGTGCAACAGCTCAAAGTGAACAATTACTCATGATTCGGCGATTACCTCAATATTTGCAATTGGGGTGACAAAGGAATATAAAACTGTTATGTTAAAGAATGCCCGAATGTCCAACGTCCGTAAGTATGTCAAAGGTATTGAAAACGAGTGAAAACCATATATTAGTTGTGCAACTATGTAACTCAATGAACGATTTCATAGATAAACTCAGCTCAGAATCAGGGAAAAACAAGGCATTAGGTGCTTTCATGAAATTTCATCAAGTTAAATTACTATACTGATTAGGCACAAATCCATACATCAAACTGCAACTTCCAATTCTACGATTGTACACAACATATATCAAATCTACAACAAGGAGTTCTGACACGATTGCAACAGTTTTTATGAAATTTTGAAAGTAAGAATGTTCGAAGACCGCTATTATGTCAACCGAAACAAAAATCATATGTACATTTAATACGTTTCTTTATTAGGGTCGTTATTAGGTTCGAACGTAGGTCAATTAAAAAAACTATTTACTTGTAATTTGTGACTACTGATTTCAATGTGCAGTGCTTACCGCTAAAGTAAAACATTATCTCAACTGGACCTGTGGTATTATCAGAGGAGAAGATTTACGAGAAAATGTTTTACGATGATCGAGATAGGCGTAACAAAAGCAAGTTAAACTGACAACGATTTTATCTGAGATACTTAAATACCACTGTATTCATTTTTTTTTTAACTAGAAACGCCTTTAAATATACAATTTTAATTGTGATTCCTATGCAAAAAGGATCTTCCTATAATATAAAAAGTGTGGGTGTCACCGGGAAGACGTTTCTTGCCAGTCGCCTCGAAATAATATAAGCAAAAGTTGGGAATTTCTGTGTGCATAAATATGAAAGACATACTTGTATGCGGCAATCAAGAAGAAGGCAGATGACGGATCAGAAATTGCGTCAAACAAATATAAGGAAGCTCTTATATAGTTGCTGACAAACATGCCAGAAATGAGGTATAGACGGACGAACAGTAAAACCAGTATAACCCTCATTTGATGCCGGGGGTATAAACCGGATTTATTTTTCATTACATTCAAATTCAATTCGTCAGTAATTTGTCCCAAATCAGAGAATTAGTTTCGATTGAGTGAGATCATTTTCATTACAAAATGTCCATTTAATCTCCTTTAAGGAAAGATGATTTATTGAGTGTTACATGATTAACGTCCAGGAGCAAACAGTTTATGCATATTCATGACATGAACAAGTTGACCATAATTCCAGTAGGTTGAAGCTGTAAAAAAAAAGTCGATCGGGATGAATTAAGAGACGGAAATTAAGACCCACACTGGAAAAGTGATGTTGGATGGGACGGAAAATTTGCCTTGCAACATGTCACTTTTTGGCCCCTCAGAAGAGCAAGGGTTCTTTAACGGTCTTTTAACGTGCAGAGAGCGCGGCATTCTGCCTACACGATGCATCGAATATAACATCCCCATCCGACCGGACCTGGCTGCGTATTTATACATTCCGCAGTCAAACGAAACCCCTCTTAAGAATAGGGTTTACTGTTAAATGGAAGAAGTCCAGGCATTACCGAAATTTTAAACCCTAGTCAACACATTGGTTTTTGTTTTAAAGACAGGATAATCGGGAAGGTATGGCTCGTTAAGATATTATCAAACATTTCATACCGTATCTTATCAGAGGGCAAAATTCCTTCAAATGGTACTTCACATATTTTTCATTTACATGATTCATGGGAGAGGACAGAATTTAATTGCCTAACCAACATCGTTTAAGCAAATAACTGATTGATTACTTGTTGCTTGACTAAGATATGTTGAGATTATCTATGTGACTGCATAGACATTTATTACAACGGCAAGTGTGTATCCGGAAATCAGTTACTAATGCCAGTAAGGATTTATAAACACTGACATTCGCAGCTCAACTAGACATTCCACCAGATTCCAACTCCTTGAAAAAAGATCACCTTTGATATTGTTTGCCCATAGAAGACGTGTTAACATCCAACATTATACCATCCGCACCTCATTTTATTTATTTACTTATTTTTGGATGTTATATAGTTTTTCATTATTATTGTTTCATATATCAATTTATATAATTGGTTATTTCATTTTATTATATACTTGTTTTTTGGTCTCGTCTCGTTTAGACAGACTTTTTGGAAATTTAGTATCTACCAATTGTTGAATAATGTCATTGTGATTGACAAAGGAACTATTTGGTATATTGCAAATTATAATATGCATAAAAATATATACATGTGACATGATTGTGCAGAAATCTTTATTGTAATGACAATATGACATACTAAATATGTTGTACTAGAAATATGTTCTTCATACACCTGTTGGTATAATCAAATACGAGCAACAGACTTGACTAAAAGTGTGCTTCCTCAAATCGGTATATCTGTTTCAGACATTAGACATTGTGTTGCCTTTTGGTGTAAGTCTGTTGCTCATTTCTAAATATATATATAAAGATCTAAGAATCATAATGAGTAAATTTGGTTGTTTACATTTGTTTCCCTTTTGTTTGAATGCTCTGGCAAACAGGCACGGTAAATTTCAAAACCAATCTAAATATTATTGATATCCAACAAGCAGATGTATTGTGAATATCTGAAGGGTGTTATTTTGCTGATAACTTTTCAAAATTTTTTTTGGTTCAATCTTGAAAGCTTAAATTTGCAATAAAAAGAACAGAGAAATGTTTGATCACTACTGACCATCCAGCAATGTGTCCTAACTATACGATAATTACCATCCAGCAATGTGTCCTGACTATACGATTATTACCATCCAGCAATGTGTCCTGACTATACGATACTTACCATCCAGCAATGTGTCCTGACTATACGATACTTACCATCCAGCAATGTGTCCTGACTATACGATACATACCATCAAGCAATGTGTCCTGCCTATACGATACTTACCATCCAGCAATGTGTTCTGACTATACGATACTTACCATCCAGCAATGTGTCCTGACTATAAGATGCTTACCATCCAGCAATGTGCCCTGACTATACGATACTTACCATCCAGCAATGTGTCCTGACTATACGATACTTACCATCCAGCAATGTGTCCTGACTATTCGATACTTACCATCCAGCAATGTGTCCTGACTATAAGTTGAGAATGTCTGCTCTTAGCACTCGGTGAAAATGTGTATAACTATTTCAAATGGGATGGACCACACTTTTTAGGAGGAATATATGCTTTTATCCTGTGAATAATTTGTACTTTTTGTGTGAGAACTGTACTTTTTGTGTAAGAACTGTACTTTTTGTGTAAGAATTGTACTTACTCCTTGCTTGATTCTAGATGTGATTCTGTCCCCGCAGCTTATCACGCCGGTTAAACAGATCCGATGAAAACTGGCATTTGGCGGATACTCAGACATTTGACTGAAAGTAAACAAGGGAAAGTCTTACTTCATACGTTTTAATAATACAATTGACTTAATATTAATGTGCATGCTTTCTTACCCTTTTTATTTTATGCCATCCACAACTGGCATTTATCGGATACTCGGACATTAAACTGAATGTATATAGATTTGGCTTTGTAATTCAAACAATACAATCGTATTAAAATGCTGTGCGTGCTTTCCATTTTTTTATGCTATGCAAGCCATTCATTAATTATTTACTCACTCATCAGTTTTTAATTTCTTATTTCATTTTTGATTTTCTAGGGGTGGGGAATAAACAAAAATATTTATGAAACTGTACTGCATTTGTGAATGTATAAGACATTTTGAGCATATTTCAAATACGACAATTGTTTGGCTTTAATTAAATCCGCTTCTGTTTCAAACTGCTTAACATTATATAATGTATCTAACATGCCCTCATTTTCTAGTGGGGTTCAAATTTTGCACACTTTATCCGGGTAAACAAACCTTATACAACCTACATACGTTGAAAATTGTTAATTTGTTCTCGTCCTGGATTTGCATGAAATATTTGCCACTGGATGTTAATTTTAAAGCAAATCATTAAATTAGGATTCCTTTGTGGAAAAAAAATACCAGATGGCGGTGTCAATTCAGAAATAATGAATATGCCATTCCATAAATGAGTTGAAAAGACAGCCGTCCATAACACGCTACACAAGAAAGTAAAGATTGAACAATACGAACCCGACTAAGTGTTAATGAATATAACACATTAATCGAAAATACATCGAATTAAGATATGTCATTTTATATCTGCTATTTAAAACATCATTTCTCCGATATCAGAAGATCTTGTCATTTAAAAAAATCTTTTATAATTATCCAAGTTGATTGACATCTTCTCAGTGTATTGTTCGATGAAATCCTGAATATTTATCATTAAGGTAATCAATGTACTTTTTCACTTTTTACTCAATCGATAAATGCATCACGTTTTTATGATCGATGGGGGCATCAATACACAATGAATGCGCATGCGCTGATCGATACCAATTACCCTTGACGGGAACCTTTCTTATCGTCGAACAAACCACAACTACCGAGACCTGTTTGCCTCGTCTAGAGAGCGATTGACCGCGTTTTCTTGTTGCCGAGTCTATCGATTTCCTTTATGTGGGTCATATAAAATAATTGGATGAACATTTCACAGAGTACACAGAAAATAATAATCAATGTAACTGCTAACAAACAGATATAAACAGTTAACGTCAGTATAAATGAAATTCAATGAAATCAGCGCTTTTAAGGAAAATTCTGAATCAATGCAAGATACGTCTTGTATAAATTGATCGTGCCAGAGTTCCTTAAGAATCAATGGTTGTCAATCTGGCTTGCAACTAAAATATATATCGTATTAATTTTCAGTTGGAATAATAAATTCTGTTGATAATTGATATTGACATATATCAATTTATTTTTATGATAAAATGCTAATGTAACGGCATCGTAGAAAACTTCTCCGTGCTATTTCATTTCTGAAACGTTTTATAATTTCCTAGTAAATCGTACGGTTTAAAACAAGACTTATTTGCAACCGTTAAAAACATAGCGTTATTCTGCAAAAGGTAAAACTACATCTTCAAAATCTTTTGAAATTTTGCAATCCAACAACAACTATTAATACAAACCATATATTTATTTGTCAAGAGGTGAATTAAAAAGTTGCCTATAATTGCTTACGTCCACTTTAATTATTTGAACTTCCATGGATAGTTGTCTCATTGGCAATCATACCACATCTCCTTATTTTTAAATTCTCAATTATTTGAAGGTCACAACTCTTTTCTTTTCTTTTTTAATTGTGAGATGCAAATTTCTAATCAGTCAACATTTACTCTCTACTTTTATCCAAATATGTTTTCTTCAACTTTCGTTTTAATTTTATATTTGTTTTTCTGTCTTTGTCACAAACAACTATATGTTTATATGACACAGTATTATTACCTTACTTTAGTTCAAAATTTCATTTTTTTATTAGTCAAATATATTCCCTTAGTTTTGAAGATTAAAATGATCCATGCTTTGAAGGTTACTTATCCATAATGAACATTTAATTGAATTAACATTAGAGAAGTTAGCAAATGGGAATAATTTTTTTTGTAACCAAATATTTTAGAAATTATATAACAAATAAAAAGAAATACTCTAATAAATTCATAAAATAACCATATTGCAAATAAAATGTTCGTGTGGCAACTGGATAAAATGTATGCAACCATCACCATTTCAAACCAATGCTACCCGAGTGGCTCCTTTTTCAGTAATAACGTCCTTTTTAACTGCCAGCAATAGTTTGCATTTATGTTATAGTGCAATAGAGATACGTGCATCTCTCAACTTTAAGCATGCATGGAGTCTCGTAATGGAAATTGAAATAGGCTTCACATATCTTAATTTAAAACTAGAACATGTATATTTAAACTTTGAAAGAGCTATACACATTCTTAAACTGCACAAACTTTAGACAACATATGCTTCAAGAAGTACTAATCTGAGGTGAGCGAAAAATGTTTTATATAATGACAGTTAAATCATTTCTTTAAAATACAATCTGTCAATGTCATCTTTCAATGGAAATGTATAATACTACTTAATCCTTGTCCATAAAATAAAACTATCAGTTACGAATTTCTATGAAATAGTATTACATGTATAACACTTTGTAAAGTATCTCCTTTTATAGACATATGCTACAACGTCAGGTCTTCCTACACCTCCTACGTCACAGCTTTCCATGGAATTGTATTAACGGGAAAAATAAGATCTTAATGACCTACTGTGACTATGATTTATTTCACCGTTCTATTTTTGTTCTATGCTTCCCTCTATTTAAAGCGCATTGATATCTTTTGTTTTCTGAAATCACCATGACTCCTTATAAGGATTAATTAAAATGTTCTTGTAAGAGACAATTGTGACGTAAAACAGCTGAGTAGTCAAATATTTGAATTTTTCACAAATAATTTAATTTGAGAACCTTTATTTGATTTAAAGAAAATAATTCTATTTTATTCATGTGGACAATGGTATAGATTAATTTGAATATGAAAGAAAAAAACACGAACAATACAATGATTGATTGATGCTTGCTTAACGTTCAGTAACAAATATTTCATGCATAATAAAGATGAGAACAAGAATATAATGGAAAATGAGGAGGCTTTTTTTCGGATCGTTTAGAAATTTTGTCTTACAGTGGCCATCCTGTATTCCGACCCCTCAAAGAAAATTGCATCGCAATCATACCCTGTTGTATTGCCAATGAATTATAGGTAAAATTCGGTAAGTCTGTATTATGGAATTTCATCAATTTGATTGATTAAAAATGGCTTTCTATACCAATATATTATGGAATATCTGCAATAAAGTACATAAGTTCATAATGGAACATGTATCTTGATAAGCTGAATCATATTTATTATACCACAATTTTGGTCCGAATAAACCTCAATGAAATAGACTAAAAAGCATGCATGATTCAGTTACGTTTGAAATTTTCTTTATAACTGATGCTTAATTCTATATATAAATGCAATGAAGGGCATATGCACTGGCAATAATAAGTAATTTGTTATAAGTCCAATTAATCCCTGATATTAGATAAACTCCCTGACATGATACAGGTGTTGTAACATTTCCTATGGGGATGGTTGATTCAGTCATTTAAGTGCTTGCTTTTTTAACTTTATTAACAATTTGCTAAATTCTAAAGTTCCTCTTTAAATATGTTTAACCACCAGGCGATATGTTTATAAAAGGTATTTTTGGATAATAAGCGCTAGTCTTGAATCAAATATCATATCCAACATTTTTTTCTCATGAAAGAAGTTCGTATCTAGTTATCTAAACACTTAGTCTCGTCTTCAATAATACAAATAGTACAATAATAATCTAATTTGGGATTGTTTACAAGGATGTACATTTATAACTATAATTATGTTGTAATATTTTCTAGCGTCTAAAGTATATCTTCAAAAATGAAACCCAAACGAATAAAATTACGAATTATAGTGTTCCATTTTAGGCATTCTAAGGACAGACAGAGGCAAAATTCTCCTGCTAAACTTTTTTCTGTCCCCTTTCCCTTCAATCTCCCATGTACTATGGTGTACCTCAGTGTGACTTCATGATATATCTAGTGCAGGGCGTCCTCTTCACAACCACCTTTTCTATATATTTCCAAATACTTAAATTTATTTGTTATGGAGCAATTAATTTTATTTTTAGAAGAGCTGACACGGAAGTAACTTCACTTATTATGGAGATCTAACAATACTTCCGTGTCTCCACTTTTTGAAATAAAATTAATTGCTCCAGAACAAATAAATTCTAAAATTTATACATTTTAATAGAATCTTTTAAACAGACACTTTTTTTTCTTGCTTGTGCGTGTCCTAAAATTTTATTATAATGTTTTTGATAAAATCGAAAGACTTGTCATAGAACATTTTTTTGTAAATTTGTATTTCTGTATCACAATTTTTTTTATCACATTCCGGACTACCAAATTCTTTCCTTCCCTGATGGCAATCAAATGGTTGCTTTCTTAATTGCATAAAACACTTCAATATTTCCCTGCAACTATGCAAAACACATAGAATTCCGAAGATTGCTGTGGTAGGGAAAGTATAGAATAAATCGAATTGTCGAAAAAAAAATTACTGTATATATTTCTGCAATAAAAGCAAATTTAACTCGGAAAGAGTTTGTGTAAATTGCTTTTCGAGCAAACAAGTTTTATTTATTAGTTGATATTGGCTTAGAACTAGATTTTAGTAGCTACGAGCATTCTTAGATCAGTACTTTGTGCCTTTTGTACTTATGTTAGTTTTCTGGGTGTATTTCTTTACGTAATAATATTTTAAGCCTTTAAAAAACTTTTCGAGAGAAATAAAAAAAATGTAGTGCCGCTCGTGTGTAGGCCCGATGGACTGGTCCTTATAATGT